TTACGACTTGTTGTTTATATTTTATTATTGTATAAATGTGTGTGTAAATAAATAAAAAAAAACAGCTTTACTTAAAAATGTGGCAATAATAAGATTACAACAAAGTTTTAGAAGTTATCAACATAAAGGCTGGACTGAATATGTTATCTTGAGTCGTTTTTAAGTAGGTTCCGTCCGACTTTTGTTCCTAAATAAAGTCGCCCGGGTCTATTTAATGTCGTATCAAGTACACTCAACGCGCAACGATTTTTGTCAAATACTAACAAAAAGTTAATGTTTTCAGTCGTTAAGGCAAATAAAAGATATTTAAAATTTAGCCGTAAATTGTACATCAGTTCAAAGTTATATCGCCCATTCGATCCCGACCTGTCACAAATGCAAACTGACCGGCCGGCATATATTTAAGTGTATTTAATAATAATATGTTTTATAATATTATTGATATAGGTTTGTTGATGTTCCTGTAATTTTATGAAGAAACGATTTTTGATCCGTTTTAAGTAGATATTGTCCATCTTTTGTTTTATTAAAGATGGTCATGTTCTACTTGCAATGTGTCAAATACTGTCAACGAGAAGACAACCAGTTTGATAATTGGAAAATAAGATCCTACAACAGATAAGGTAATTTAAGATAATGGTGTAGTTATAAATTAGACAAATGAGTTTTGACTATCAACATATAATAATTTATAACTATTACCTGTAATACGATGTACAATGATGTTATATCTCCATATTCTGTCATTTCACAATTTATCTCCACCCCTCCGATCGAACCTCCATTCAATTCAAACGGGGATCGAAATTACGGCTGAGCCGAGGTTTGAAACCCCAGCGGTTTAGCACACCACCTTACTTGAGATGGTCGCAGGTTCAATTCTTGGCACGGCTGTATTCATGATCATTGTGTGTATCGGTCTGGGTGTTTTCTAATATGTATGTATATATATATATGTCAATTATCTAGTACCCATAGCACAATCTTAACTTGGGTCTAGATGGCGCTATGGAAATTATCGTAAAAAATAAATTAAATATTATTAAAAATAAAGTTGCTCTGTTGATTAAAAAAATCTTCAACTTTGATGTAGAGTAATTGATTGTTAGATGTATTTTATTGTAATTGTAGTCGCCCAGTGGTCCATAAATATTACAGAAAAATTAGGAATAAACTTCGGTACAAAATATGTACATGTTTTATAATTATTCTTTTACAGGTTTATTGATGTTCCTGTAATGATACGAAGAAACGACTTTTGATCCGTTGTAAGTAGATATTGTCCATCTTTTGTATTTCTAAAGATGGTCATCGTCTACTTGCAATGTGTCAAATACTATCAGCGAGAAGACAACAAGCACATTAACTGTTGAACAGGAAGATATCTTTGTCGTAATGTTAATTATATATGTAACTAGCTACTCGCCCCGGCTTCGCACGGGTGTACTTATATATATAAATCTTCCTCTTGAATCACTCTATCTATTAAAAAAATCCGCTTCAAAATCCGTTGCGTAGTTTTAAAGGTTTAAACATACATAAGGACAGACAGCAACAACGACTTTGTTTTATACTATGTAATGATTATGTAAGTCGAATTCGTTAATTTAAAATAATGATATAAATATTGTTTAGGATAACTTAATGTAGCTTAGCGTTTCTACATCATTATTGACAGTAGATATTCAGCACATCAACGGCAAAACCGGAGTTGAAGACAGTCGCCGTTGACGAAATCGGTCGGGATGACATCATCATCATCATCAGTAGATATGAAGAAAGAAGAAATGCAATCTTGTATCGTTTATAAGTAGACTGTGTCCGACTTTTTTTACATTTAAAGCGTCTCGCGTCTGCTTATAAATACGTTACATGAATGTCGTCAGATATATAATCATTTGCAATCGTTATTATCATTTCATATTGTTTAAATTACCATTTTTAGATACTAATTACCCGGCCAGTGTACTTACTACATGTTTGTTTATAGGATATAGAGTTTTATAACCGAAGTTATATCCTAATTTAATGATAAATATTATCGACCCATTGATGGTTATAATAAATACGCAAAGATTATTAAAATAACGCAAATTAAAAAAAGTATATTTATTACTTATGGCAGTAGTTTATGATATAGTAGCTTTACTTGCGGTTTCATCCTCGTGAAATTAAGAGCCTATATGTTATTCTGAAGTATAAGCTATATTGCTGTAAAGTTTCTTAAAAGTCCGTTATAGTTTTTGCGTAAAACAGTTACAAACTCACAAACTTTTCCATTTATAATAGAATATATTATTAGTTAGTCAGTAAAAATGTTGATATTTTGTTTTAAAAATATTTGTGTTTTTTTTTTCAATTAAAAATAATCCTATGTACATTCTAATACGTCTAAGAACATGAGTACAAAATTCCATGATGATTGGTTCAGTAGTTTTTGCGTGAAAGTGTAACAAACATCCCTATTTTCACATTTATATTATTAGTAAGAATTAAGATTAAGATATGTAGTTAATATATGAAACTTTTTTGTAAAAGTAACCTCCACGATGGTTCCAGTCATTGTTAGGTCTCCCATCGGCGTGGATACATCCGCCGTCAACGGTGGCTGAGCAAAGAGTGGTTCTGGTGCGCTCTGGGCGGTAGGGTAATAATGCCTGTGGGTAATCATTACCTTATTGGCGAATGGTCCGACAAGATAGGTAGCCAATAATCTACTGCTTATTCGGAAAGCTGTCTCATCACAAGAAGCACGACCAAGAAACTTGTATGTTGTCTTTTAAATAATTTTATTGTTACTTTACATTTTTAAGTTGAAGTGTATGAAAACAAACTACTACAAGCACTAGTTCAATTAAGTAATCAAATAGAGAAAATATTGAATATTCAACCAACTGGTTAAGTATATAAATAAGAGTAAATTTGGTGTCTGTTATGGTTAGAAATAAATAAATTTTCTGTTATTTTTCCCTGTTCATTCTCTTGTTTGTTATTTTTCTTTTCATTTGTTATTGGTGAGTCAGGTTCGGTGGATTCTTTAATCCACAGCCGGACAAGTACTTCGGTGCCACTGACTAGCATCTGGAACTAGTCGCAATTCTAACACGAGGTATCACGAATCTCACTTTAATTTTTTAAAAATTTGATTATGTCGCGGGTAACAGCTAGTATGGATTTATTTTTACTTTACATATACATTTTTTTAACAATATGAGTATATGAGTCTGTGTCAAATACATGGTAAAATAATATTAATTAGCAGTGCAATTTATTCCTCCCTCATATTTATTGTAAACAATTATTAATTCTATATGTATAACTAACTGTTGCATCTTTGTTTCCGTTGAATTTAATTAAATTAAAATAAATAAGAATGTTTAGCAGAGTTATTGATGTAGTGCACAGTGGAATAATTTATATTAAAGATGTTTTACTTTTAATAATCATTTTATTTAACCATTTTACAACAACTTAGTACAATACTCCTACATTACAGAAACTAGAGAGAATGTATAGACAATGAGTTACAGATTAGTAAATCTTTCTGTATCACCACAGATTATACTGTAACAAATAACATCTCTTGAATAAAGGTAGCCTAAATTATTACTTCGGTATACCTAACGTTAGCTATTTACTTTCATTTGAAAGTTCCGCCAAAATCGGTATAGCCGTGTAATAAATGAAACCATTTATTAGCAAGACAGATTTATTTATTATACAGACAGACAGATATAAATATTTTAAAATAAAAATCTCTTACCCCAAATTACAAACAGACACTTCAACTATATTTATTTGTATAGGATGATAGTTTTTAGTTTTGTTCCATTGCTTAAGGTAAGACACACAGACACCTTAATTACATGCCTTAACTATATGAATATACCTACTAAAATATTCAACTGGTTGACCTATTCCTAGTACCTAATAAGCCTTAATAAACTGCAGTAACATATAATCAATTTACCATTTTTATTTTAATACAGTTATCAGGAAGCTAGCTACGAGCTCCTTATAGCATGCCATAAACAGAACTGCCCTGCTAAGGGTACTACGAGCTCCTTATAGCAGGCCTGCTACAGGATTGTTTTCATAAACCGTTCACCTTTTTTTTTGTATGAACATTTTGAAACAATTCGTACCATGACGTCACATTTGACAGCATCTTAACGATTATTGCACGGCTGTTATGTCAAATAAGGCAATCTTGAAAAAGTTACTAGAGTAACTTACGAGTAACTTTTACAGAATTGTTTTCTGTTTTTAAGTGGATATTTGAGTATCTACGACCATATTACATAGCATTATTATCATTTTAACAAGTGGCAAATATGAATGGCGCTTCAATATTGGAATTATTAAAATAGAGGTTTTTTGTATACAAAAACTCGGATATGATACAAAGTGTTAAAATCGTGCGATGGACATGTTATAATACTTTAAATATCTTACTCAGTTTAATATCGTAATATAATATAATGTATTATAGCTATACGACAAGTACCTATGATAAATATTTCAAAATTCAAAATTTCAAATTTTGAATTTTGAGCGAACATTGAATGGAGACAATAAATAGGCGAAATTAATAACCCTTTCGTATCAAAGGATGGAGAATTTATAAGTGAATATAGGTAGAAAAAATTATTAACTTTTTATATATATTATTAGGCAGTAATTTATAATTATTATTTTCAAATTTCGTTTACAGTACTGCTACTGTGCTAGCTGATGTATATAATTAATTTTATTAAGTGATTACCAAGAATTTCTACTTGCTTCATTCAATTGTATTAATATAGCATCCATACTTTCCACCCACTGCAGTTATATAGGTATAATATATAACTGACCATTAACATTGTATATTATGTATTTTTATTCATGATTATTTATAAGTAGGATAAAGCATTTAGCACTTTAATGAGATAAATAGCACTATGTGGTAAATATTTATAACATATAACCTACTAATGTATAATATATTGTTTTTACAGATTTGTAATGCTGGTCAAGATATTATTAGTGTGGTTGCTAATCATCCAGGAGCATGCCATGATTCCTTTATTTGGAATAATCATCTGCTATGATCACACTTGAAAACTACAACTGAGGCAATATGGCTTTTAGGAAGGTATTAATGGAGTCATTAAAATAAAAATTTTAGTGGTATATTTATTAAAAATAATAGATATATTAAAACAAATATCTTTATTACAGGTCCACAGAAGAGTTTCAACAACAGGCTTTGATGTAACCAACTGTAATATCTCTTTAAGAATCAGTAGAGCAGCAAAATCCTGAATTACAGGTGGACTTTTCAGCAGGCTACTGAAACAAATAATATTTTACATAATAATAACTTAGGATACAATACATAACATTTGCTTAATGATTTCGTATATGATTTAGACCTCTATATACTTTAGTATTTGTAAATACTATACTATACTCTAAATATTTCTTTCATTATTCTTTTTAGGTTTTGCTATTGTGTTAAGTTAGAAAGAAACACATAATATATATAACTTTATAATTAGTATTATAAAAAAATAGAAATGTATGAATTAACTATGAATGCTTGTATCGAGAATAAAATATATGTATCATTATATCACTTTATTACACATCTACATTACCTTCCAAATTAATGTCCAGTCAAATCTCCTTCCCATTTCCTTCCTCACTGGTCATGTTTTGTGATGAGCCAGCATTAATAGGAGCTAGACTGTAGAACCTAAAAAATAAAATTCTATGATATACATACACCTAATTTTAACCTTAGAATTATTTAAAAAAATTGTGTAATAAATACAGGTATTATAAGTTAAGTCAAGTGAAATATAGCATTTGCCTCGCTTACAAATGGTTGTACACCAGGATAAATTTTCACTTAATATGGTGAGAAACTTCAGTTCAATTTCTGATAATTCCTCACTTATTGCAGGCCTACATTTGGCATCTCTTATGAGGCGATTGTTTCTTTTATTTTTCCCTTCGAGTTCACACAGTACTAGAAGAAGATTTGTTTATATACACCATAATTAAAGGATTTAGAAATAGAATAGTCTAAGGTATCTCTCATTATGATTTTCATACCTTAAACCATTCAGGTACAGATTTAACAGATCCCTCAGCTATTAACTTAACCTAACCTTCAATTAAGAAGCGACTCTTAGCCACATACATTTCGAATCAAATGATCTCATCTCGAGATTGAGTGGATTTGTTATTCCGTACTGCAATATTCTTAATATTAATTCAGAAATTCCCACAAATGTAGTTGAATGTAAACTCGTCGTCTACTTTGCTGTATTTCTAAAACTATGAACATAAGGAATATTATTTTTAGTGTAACAATAATATTGTAGAGAGTGTAGAAACTCATGGTATATTTTTTGTTTAAGTAATTTTTATTCAATATATTCCTTTAAAAAGGAATAGTTTCCGGTGTGCTAAACCTCTTATAGACTGAGGCAGTCAATAATGTGATGCTTTTGTTTGATATTATTAATAAATATATAACATACAGCATGTTGGTCCCCACCGATATTTTGACCACCTTCGTGAGGGAGGACTACTAGCAGAAGGGAGTGGTGCATCGACGCTACCATGGCAGGTTACCATCGTCAGTACTGTTGACCACGGTTGACCGTGACAGTGACCACGGTTATAATATATACTTTATTATTATTTCATGTGGATATTATAAATTACTCATAGATGAGTACTTTTTTATATTATTAATATGAGTAATTTTTTATACATTCTAAATGTAATATGTAGGTAAATAACATATCAATAATATATTATTTACGTACGTAGGTATTAGGAAGATAACCAAATAATAGGTTTAGTTATATGTCCCGAAGAAGAATCGGTGGTGATTCTTAAAATGCATGTTAAGTGCTGGTTTAATTCATAGATAAACTTCACTATGGGCTAACTGACCTAACCTAGCATTGTCCACTGGTGCAAACAAGTCTCGATTGTGTTCGCTATGGTAATCGTTATCCCCTAAATTCTGCTCAAAATTCCGGCTTTGAAGAAAAAATCCCCAATAAATAACATGTTTAGCATTATTTAAATTATTAACCGGGTCTTAACACGAATAATTTTATGGCAAATAAAGGTATTTACCTCTCTCGACGTTTCGACTAGGTTGCACTAGCCGTAGTCACGAGCTGACCACGGCTAGTGCAACCGAAATAGTCGAAATTTTAAGACCCGGTTACTAATTTAAATAATGTATGTATATTAAACACGAAAGTTTAAAATGTTTAGCATTACCTACGGCTATATTTTAGAGTGGTGTATAAAAGTAACATGTAGTGTATAAATAAACCGTGTGTTTTTAAATGATTTATATCATAGTACTGTTTGTAATTGTAAGTATATAATAAAGTTGTTATTATAATTACAATTTTGTTTTTTAATTATTTTCTCAAATTTTGACTGACGACCTTCCTCATCGCTAGGTTTTAAATGATAGTAATAAAATACTAAATATTACAATTTTACATTTGTACTATCTCACATCTAGTCTAGCTGCCAATGACCTTGTTCTGTATTTAAGCTGTATTTAGGGTTACAGATATAGGTATTTTACAAGGTGCATGATAACTACGTGGGTCATGAGTCCACATTACTACCAATTCCCTTCCCTCTATAAGCAATGATTTTTTTATGGATGATAATGGAATGGTGCAACCGCCTGCGATAACGGTTTACGCTGGCGGGGCACCAGTGGATAATAAGATGAGCATGAGGTCAGGTCAGTTAGCCCATCGTGACAAATTAACCAGGAATTTATCACGATGGTTTCCAGGGGGAATCGCGTGGAAGTCAACCTGACATGGTACATTGCTGGTAATGGGTGACCCCACAAGTCCACATCACTAATAATTCCATTTCCCCCTGTAAGCAATGGTTACCACTTACCATATTTTATCTGTGCCATAAGTTACATAAAAAAACTAAGCAAAGAAAAAACAAATGTTGCTTTTGAGAAGGTTTAAGAAAAAGTTTGTCTATTTATTGGCAAATCTGTTATTTATTACATTGATAATGTACCAAATACAACTGAGTTCAACCGACCCGCCTACATATATCACAAAGGCGACAGACAAGCGTCAATAAGGAAGGAAGTAATCGTTTAGTGTGCTCCGACCCTAATCGAGTTAAATCACCACAATGCTAAGAAGTGGTGAATGAACTCAGGATTTCAATTCAGAAATACATTGTTGCTATGCCTTTTAAAGCGTGGAAAATTTTCACCACCAAAGCCCATCCAACAGCAGATGGGATAGGATTTTATCCCTGAAAATGGGGCTGCCTTGGTAGTCTAGCGGTTTAGCACAACGCTTTACTTCCGATGTCGCAGGTTCGATTCCTCGTACGGCATAAACATTTGTATTCGTGAGTATGATTGTCGGTCTGGGTGTTTTACCAAAAATTATGTATCTATTTGTATCAGTGGTCGTGGGTGTTACCCATAACACAAACTTTGCTTAGCATGGCGCTGTGTGATTGGTCCTGAAATATTAAATATCATAATATTACTATGGTTTTACCGAGGTATACTGTAAAAACACTGCAAGGGTGACTCAATTTCATACATTTCAGCCGCCAAGCAGCTTGTTTTGTGAGATGGCTTTCGGTTGTAGGAAGAAAAAGGTAATGAAATTACAGAATAAGATGTATGATATCTTATTCATCCGAACATAAGAGTAGTATCACGAGCATCACATGATAACGTGAAATTCGTTGTGTTATTCATGTATCGTATAGGCGACGGTTTACCAACAGGTGGGCTCTCAGCATATTTGATCTTATACCTCGAAATGGAGTCGCCAGTATCATGGATTTGCGTTAGTATTCTACCATAACTTAATTACTATATCTGGAATTAAGAACATGTATAGATATTCAAAGTCAGCAGTTTAAAGAATAAAAAAAATCTTATCTTAATATTAATTTTTAATAATATTAGGAACGCGAAAATTTGTAAGTATGGATGGAGAGCCTGTTACTCTTTCACGCAAAAACGACTCAACGAATTTTGATGAAACTTTACTGTAATATAGCATCAGAAAAACATATATGCTATAAATTTCAGGCGGGTGAAATCGGGGGCACAGCTAGTATTACATATAATTATAGAATATTGTTCTCAAATTAAAAAAAAATTTCAAATTTGTACAAAAACTTCTGCAGCTTCGTCCCATCTGTTTCAGCTGCCAAGCAGCTTGTATTACAAGCTGTTTCAATAACTTTTTTTATGTTATTAGAATGGCAAATAAGCTTTCGGCCCACCTGATAGTGCGTGGTAACCGTCGCCTAAATATATGAATAGCACAATGGACGTTACAACCCAAATTTAAAGTAGTTTTGACTACCTACATAATAGAAATATTATTCTCAAGCGACGTTGGTGACGATAATACATACATCGAGTCTTCAGTAGGGTTGCCAACTTAAAAACAATACTTATTACATACACTATATTAATTTGGCTATTAAACCATCATCACTACACCCACACACCAATTTTATTCATATGTATATACCTAAACAAAATTGGAGTGTCTGTAATATTAAAATAACAGCTTTTAACGGTTTTACCGTATATTTACATGCATTTGAATATAAATATATGGTACATACACCAAAATAACATTTTTTATAATTTTTGTCTGTCTGTTTGTTCCGGCTAATTTCTGAAATGGCTGGACCGATTTTGACGGGAATTTTATTGGCAGGTAGCTGATGTAATAAGGAGTGACTTAGACTACTTCAATTTTAGAAAAATTCTTTTATTTTAGAAAATTAAAGTGAAATTCCACGCCGACGAAGTCGCGGGAACACCTAGTCATTAAATAAGTTAAACAAATTGAGTACCTATATCTGATCCTCGTTTATACTTGCACATACTCGAGATACACGTTTCTTACACGAGGATGTGAATGTCTTCGTACCCAAAATCAATAATCTCGTACCTGTACGAATATTCTGAAATGATTGGCATCGGTGTCGCTAATTTCATTACAATGTGAACAGATTGTAATAATATATAATAATCCATAATCTCCGCTGCTTATATCATTACTATTCGAATGCTATAATTATATTGATATATATATTTATATAATAATACAGATGTATTATTATATAAATATATCTATATAAAAGATAAGTAGTTGGGTTCCTTCATTAAAAGTTTAAGTTAAAAATGAAAAGTTCCCTGACCCCTACAATGTTACTTGCTTAGCTTTATCCGTTTCTATCAACTCTGCTCTCATTTCACAAAGGAAATAAAATTCAATATCATTTTTGATATGGTAATGGGTGTATAATTGAACTACTTTAGTATTATCACTCAATTGAAGAAGAAACATAACCGTCATTTGATATATATTAT